GCAGATATATATATATATATATGTATATATATATATATATATATATATATACGGCGCCAACAGCAGAAGACAAGAAACAGGCATAAACAACGAAACAAAACAGAGCGAACAAAGAAAAGCAGACAGAAAAAAGAATAGAGGAAGAAGAGACAAAGAAAAAGAAGAGAAAAAGAAAAAGAAGAGACAGCAGTAGCAGCAAAGAAACAAAAGACGAAAATAAATAAAAAAAGAAAAGAAACAAAAGACAACAGGAAAAACCAAGAAAAGAGACAAGAGACAAAACAACAAAAAGAAACAAAAGAAAAAAGAAAAGAAATAAATAAAAATTAAAATAAAAACTAAAATAATAAAGAGGCATTTAATAAGGAAGAAGAGAGACGACAAAACAATAAAAGAGACAAAACAATAAAAGTAGAAACAAAAGAAGAAAGAAGAAAAGAAATAAATAAATAAAAATAAATTAATAAAAATAATAAATAATAATTTACTCTTTCTGAGACCTCCCAACCCTCAACCACCGGAAACTCCAAAATTTGCTCCAAGAGAGACAACTGAGTTGCTTCCCCTGCAAACAATCACAAGGGTTTAGGGTTTAGGGTTTAGGGTTTAGGGTTTAGGGTTTAGGGTTTGGGAAGACGGCGCATTTAGGATTCGTTTGCCACCACCTGGGGTTTAGGGTTTGGGGTTTAGGGTTTAGGGTTGAAGGGAGAAACCCATATGTTGCAAACCAAACCCTAAACCCTAAACCCTAAACCCTAAACCCTAATTTCGCATAAGCCCTAAGCCGTATTCGTAAACACTCATCCCCAGCACCCCCCTCAAGGCCCAGCTACCTCTACGCCCTCCTAAACCCTAAACCCTAAACCCTAAACCCTTGGAATGATGAGTGTGCTTGCCTAGGGTGTCTGGGATGGAGAGGATGAGGAAATCTGTTTGTTGAAGACTCGCGCATGTAGCTGATAGACCTAGGGTTTGAGATGAAGAAGCGTATATTGCATTATTAGCTATTGTCTCTCTTAAAAGCAAACAAATTCTACTTGTTGTCTTCTGTCCCTCTGTTGTCATCAAAAAAGAAGAAAAAGATAAATCAAATGAAGACACAGAAGAACGAGGACTCCGCAAATGTAATATTACTTCAGCTGTACAGACACCCCACACACACACACAAATTCATATATAAATATATATATATATATATATTTATATAATTGATATATGTATATATATATATATACATCTATATATATATATGCAAATAAATATACATAGGCATATGAATATCCGTAGAAAAAGACGTATACATATGTATCTATTATATATTATATATTATATATATTATATATATTATATATATTATATATTATATATTATATATATTATAGTATATATATTATGTATGAAACAGCTAGGAGATAAAAAGAAGAAAAAAAAAGAGAAGAACGACAAGAGAGACACGCAGCAGACAACCAAGAGACAAAGAGGAGAGACAGAAGAAGAGACAAAGAGAGACAGAAGAAGAGACAAAGAGAGACAGAAGAAGAGATAAAGGGTGTTTAAGAAGGAGACAACAGCAATACACCAAAAGAGCAAGGGCTTGCGGTGAAGTGCAGCAGAGACATGCAGAAATAAACAGACACCCAAACCCTAAACCCTAAACCCTAAACCCTAAGCCTTTCAAGCGGAGAGACATCCACACGAAAGAGACAGAGAAAACCCCTGAAATAAACGAGCAAGGCCCTATACCTCTTTCCAAGGGTTTAGGGTCTACACAGTAAGGCCTAAAGCCTAGGGTTTAGGGTTTAGGGTTTAGGGTTTACGATCGTCATGTGGGTAGTTGTTTCGGTATTCATTGAGCTGCGCATAAATAAGTTTAGCCTCTTCCGCTTTCGCCTTTGTCCTGCTGCTGCTGCTGGTGCTGCTGCTGCTGCTGCTGCTGCTGCTGCTGCTGCTGGTTAGCATATTATTAACTGCTACTTCCTCAAATGTGAAGGAGACAACAGAGCCTCTACTAACTCTTAAAGAGACATGCACTGTATCTTCTCCTATATTTTTAAACAACATCCTCCTCACAGAAAACCCTGAAGAGCTTATTTCAGGTGTATCTTCTTTATAAAGATATATCGGCCCCTCTAAACAAGCAGATGACAAGTACTGCGCATCTACAAGCAAATCTCCTACGTGTAGCTCGCAGGCTTCCTTGCTGCTGCTGCTGCTGCTGCTGCTGCTGGGGCTACAAGTGGTAGTTGTTGTTGCTTCCGTTGGTTCTGCTGTTGTAGTCGTAGTAGAAGTAGGGTCCTCGGCTGTGCCGCCGTTGCTGCTGCTGCTGCTGTCGCTGCTGTCGCTGCTGTCACCCATACCGTTGCTGCTGTCTTCGCTGCCGATATCGGCATTGATACTGTCGCCGCCAACGCTGCTGCTGCTGTCGCTAGCAGTGTTGCTGCCACCAGTGCTGCTGCTGCCACCATCGCTGCTGCTGCTGCTGCCACCATCGCTGCTGCTGCTGCTGCCGCTGCTGCTGCTGCCACCACCGCTGCTGCTGCTGCCGCTGCTGCTGCCGCTGTCTATAATACCTCCTACTCCAGGTCCTTCAGTTTCAGGAGGCGTTGAATTCCAATCAGGTGGATAATGAAGAGGGGGTGAATGTTCAGCAGCAAGAAGTTTGTCTGCTGCTGCATGCAGAGATGCCTCTCCTTCTGAGGATAATGAAGCTGCTGGGTTGTTATACACTGTAGAAAAACTATAGAGCTCGTTCAGAGAATGATATGCACCATTAGGAGCCGTATTACCCCTTCCTGCTGCTGTTGCTGCTGCTGCTGCTGCTGTTGCTGCTCTTGCTGTTTCTGCTGCTGCTCCTTTTCCATCTGCTGCTGCTGCTGTTTTTGCTGTTTCTGTTGTTGCTGATGCTACTGCAGATGGTGCTGCAGCTGCTGTAGTTGCTGCTAAGTGAGTGTGTTGAGTAAGAATAAATGAAGAGGAGTCAACAGAGTCCGAAGAAGGCAGCAAATCATCGCGAAAAGATTTCTTGCTATCTTCATCGGCTACCCCTTTAGGAGATGTTAAAGGAGGGGAGCTCCTCCTATTGGCTTTTAAAGCTAATACATCTTTAGGAAGAAGATAAACAATGAAGAGGTACAAGAGCAGCCGCCTAAAGGAAGGAAACGCGGGAGGAAAACGATAGAAAAACATTGGGATACGTTTTGTTTTTGTGTGAATAATAGTCTTTTAGGGTTTATTAGGGTTTTTTAAAGCTTAAAATTGAAAGAAAAAGCAAAGATAACATTCAAATAAAGAACATTTGATATCGTCGAGCAGAACAGAAACAGAGAGGAAAGCCGAAAGAAATCGAGGTGTCTATACACCTCAAGACCGCTACATAACAAACGCCTGAAGGGAAAACCAAACAAAATAAACATCAGATCGTAGAATAATGAATTCTAAGATTTCAAATAAAGACCCGAAGCTGCAATCAATTCATGAATTCACAAATGAAGTGTACATACACTTGAATGTTGGAGGCGTAAAGAGGCTGAAAATTGGCAGTGGCAAGGAAAGCGGAACATAAACACAAACCCTAAACCCTAAACCCTAAATTAAGGGTTTCTCTAAATATAAAAGGAAGAAAAAAGATAAAGTTTCAGCGCTGCACGCCGTTGCACGGGTTCGACGATTTGGAGTTTAAAGTTTAGAGTTTAGGGTTTAGGGTTTAGGGTTTAGGGTTTGCGATGCCTAGCTACGACGATGGACCATTGCCCTTATACAGCATCGACGCTTTTCGGAGTTTCATTTAGAAGAGAATATATTTCTTCTTTTATTTTTATTTTAGGTGCGATTGCTAAATATTTATTAATTACGGTTTAGGGTTTAGGGTTTAGGGTTTTTCTACCAAAGTTAAGCGGGCAGTGTCGTGTGCGGAAACGGCTCTAGGGTTTAGGGTTTGTGCAGGGCTGTGTGCCTCCAATTCGAAGCTTAAAAACCCCCAAAACATCGCTGATATACTCGTTAGAATGTTATTCACAGCTAACTCTTTCAAAATGAAGGGTTTAGGGTTTTAGGGTTTAGGGTTTAGGGTCTAGGGTGCAGAGCCATGTGTCTTACTTCCGCTACTGCTTCGCAGCGTACCGCCACGAGGGTTTAGGGTTTATCAGCGGTTTCCGCTCAATAAATTAGAATAAGGGTTTTAGGGTTTTAGGGTTTAGGGTTTGTTCTTGGAGTCTTAAGGGTTTGCTGCTGAGGGTTTAGGGTTTAGGGTTTGGAGGGTTGGCGGTCATAATGGAGGGTATATCCTAGCGGCTTTGTTTGCTTGATAATTTATTATTGTGTTGATTTATTTTGTTTTATTTGATAATTTTGTTTGTTTATTTTATTGCTGTTTTATTTTTTCTTTATTTATATTTCTTTTTATATATCTTTTACCCTTCTTTAACAACCGCCTCCTGCTGTCTCCTCAGCTTTTTGTTGTTTTTCTGTCTCCTTTTGTTTTTCTTCTTCTGTCTCCTTCTCTTTGTTATTCTTTCTCTCTCTCTCTTTGATTCGCTGTTTGTCTTTCTTATACACACGCATATATACATATATACATATATGTACGGATACTATATATAATATATATATATTATATATACACATGCACATATATATATATATATAAACATACAAATTTGCTCATATATACACTTTGTTCATTTTTTGTGTATTTGTTTGCCTTTGTTTGTTCATCCGCCTAAATATATATTTTTATAATTTGTTTTTGTTTGTTTGCTCGGCTTTGTTTGTTTTGTTTGTTTGCATCTCCTTCTGTTTCTTTTTCTTTTGTGGTGTATATGCACCAATAGACCCCAAAAGTTTATCTTTCGCTGTCTAGGGTTTAGGGTTTAGGGTTTAGCGCTATCAAAGGATGACAGCGAAAGTTTCTTTTATTCTCCAGTCTCTCTTCAAACAGTTAAACCCTCGACAAACCCTCTCCTAGGGTTTAGGGTTTAGGATTGCAAAGGTAGGGTTTAGTCTAATCGCAGAGTATAAAATACAAGGGTTTAGAGTTTACAAAATGAGGGTGTAGGGTCTAGGGTTTACAAAACAAGGGTTTAGGGTTTAGGGTTTAGGTCAGCCGAACATCCTGGAGTATATCTTTTTCTGCTGCTCTTTCTCTGCCCTTAATCGCGCTTCGAGCCTCTCCTTCAGCTGAAGAAAAACACCCCACCAAACCCTAAACCCTAAACCCTAAACCCTAAACCCTCACAGATGCCTCCATTCGCCAAAACCCTAAACCCTAAACCCTAAACACTAAACCCTCCCTACCTTCAAGAAATCCGCATCCTCAGGAACTATTTTCAGAGCTTTCTTTACATCCGCCTGCTCACAAACAACGCTACCCAACCCAAACCATAAACCCTAAACCCTAAACCCCAGGCACTGCTAAACGGTAAACCCTAAACCCTAAACGCTCACCAGGCCGTTGTTGTATTCTTTCAGCCTCTCGTTGGCCACCGCCCGGCGATAAAGGGCCTTCAAGCACTGATCGCTGCGCCGCACCAGACCCTAAACCCTAAACCCTAAACTCTAAACCCCAAACCCTTGGCCATTTACATCGTAACGCCTGCACGTCTGCAATTGCCGAATTAATTTTTTAAACTCCTAAACCCTAAACCCTCCACAAAGACCTAAACCCTAAACCCTGTAGCTCTGTAGCCTATATTATGAAAATCCCGCAAACCCTAAACCCTAAACCCTAAACCCTACCCGTTACCCCCTACCCCTCATCCCGTCACCCGTACACGCTCTCGCCCCCAACCCAAACCCTAAACCCTAAACCCTAAACCCTAAACCCTAAACCCTAAACTTACTCTATTTCAAGCGCAGCATCGCAGCTAGCGATTGCTTTCTTTGCAAAGGGCTCACATGTCGGAGCTTTAAGATCTGTGCCGGCTAGCTTTAGATATGCTTGGGATAAGTTGAGCTGTAGAGATAGCTTAAGGGTTTTGATTTCTTCTTCATCTTGAGGAGACAAATCATAGACCTTTGCTAAATACTGCAGACCCTTGATGTACCGCTGCACCGCCAACTCAATGTTCCCGTCTGCAACCACAAACCACAAACCCTAAACCCTAAACTCTAAACCCTAAACCTTAAATGCGATGTGAATCACACTCGGAAAAGGACGGGGAACAAACCCTAAACCCTAAACCCTAAACCCTAGAGCGTATTGCTTAAAGATTGTACTACCTTAGTTTGGATGACGAGAGAGGTCGCGGAAAGGGTAGATCGAAGGGTTAGGGTTTAGGGTTTAGGGTTTAGGGTTTGTTGTACCTTTGAAGAGTTCGTTTGCTTCTTCTTTGTTTTTCTTCGCTCGTTTGATGCACTGAGAGTTTGGAAGTTTAATATCCATATCTTCACCCCCTCCAGCAGCAGCAGCAGCAGCAGCAGCAGCAGCAGCAGCAGCTTGAATTTCACCTTCTTTTTGCTTCTTCTCCTCCTCTACAGCATCAAAATACTCTTTACAATCTCTTTGGAGTGTCTCCTCAACTTTTTGAAGTGCAGCAGCATACTCACTCTCTGCTGCTGCTTCATTATCTAACAACCATTCTTCTGTTTGCTGCAGCAGCTGCTGCACTTGCTGCTGCAGCAAACAAGACCCCCTTGCTTCTCTTGCTGCTGCTCTTATCTCTAATAAATATGCTTCAAGTTTATTTCTCGCTCCCAGCCTCCTCATCTCCTTGGACTCTAATAACAATAACCCTTCATCCACTTCTTTTAAACGCTGCACACAAATAAACCCTAAACCCTAAACCCTAAACCCTAAACCCTAGACTCCAAAGTCTCCAAGCAAACACCAACAAAAAACAACCGCCTTGATAGATATTAGTATCTAGCGGGTGAATCAATCAACTAGCTAGCTAGCTATCTAGCTAGCTAGCTAGCCAATGATATGCCTATCTATCAATCTAGCTAGCTAGCCAGCTAGCTAACTGAATGCAGGGCTTATCCAGCTATATAGCTGAAGGTTCATCTACACAGCTAGCTAGCTAGCTAGTTAAAAAAGAGACGCCTGCCTAG